CCCTGCATGTGGCAGGGGGTTGGAGCTTCATGATCCTTGAGGTCCCTTCCAACCCTGGCCATTCTGTGATCCCGTGATTCTGTGATCCTCTGCTGTCACAACGCTTTCATCCAGGCCAGCATCAGAGGCACCATTTGCTTTCCTCAGCCCTGCAGCTTGTGCTGCTGCTGGGCAGTTATCCTAACAGCAGTGGTTTTCAGAACACCCCTCTCAACCCCTTCTCAGAGCTCCCAGTCCCACCGCCCCCTGCACACTGCAAGGACGTGCACTGCGATCCCCTCCTGAAGTCACATTTTGCAGTGGCTGCACGAGGGAGTTGTGGTGTGCCCATATAACCAATTAGCCTGAGGTAATTAATACAGTCCCCAGTGTATAATTATTTCTGATGAAACTCTGCAAGCCATAGGAAACCCTCATGAGTGATGAGAAGCTCTGTGTTTTCAGCCCTGAACTGGCCTGAACCCGAACCAGGCTGTAACAAATGGCTGAGGGCTGTGTGAAGGATAACCAGGTTGAAAAACAGGCAGTTGTAAAATCAAAAGCTGTCACTGAGAAACATCAGAAGCGTGTTTGTAACTTTCCAAAGCCACTGGAAGTGTCACCTCATTACTCCACTCTTCATCGGTCTGAAAACAACCAAATCAGTTCCAGCTAAATTATTGCAAAGCTTTCCAGGCCAGGGCTTCACCCACCATTTCTCCCTGTGACAGAACTGCATTTCACAGCTGGTTTATTAAACCTGGGAGAAGAAGTTTGGGATGGAAATGATGACAGCCTGCAGTACAGCAGTGCTGGTGGGTGCTGTTATGGTAATTAAAACCAGGGCACAAAGCTGTGCAGATGAGTCTCCAGCAGCCATGTGTGATTTTCTGTGCTTTCTTTGCTCTCAGGAGATTCACACATTCAGCATTTTGCACAGAGATACATTTTTATGATAGCTTGTTGATGGCTTTTTTAAGCATGAAGTGAGATATTTTTAAATGTAACCTCGGAATAACTGCATTTAATTAAGGGATCTATTGTGGATAATGGCAGCCCAGAGAATTGCTTTCTGTTACAGAAGCACAGCATCAGTGCAGAACCTCGATGGAAGCACAGCACTGAATGAACGAACGTCAGAAAAATGCTTTCAAGTATTTTTTGTCTGCCCATTATTTTAACTCACTGAAAGATAGGAGACCAGAGAGGAGACGTACGATAGGCACAGGCTGCCAGGCTGTACCAGGTGTTGTCCTCCTTCTTCCCATCTGGTCTTGATGGAACCAAGTGATGGGTTTTCATGGCTTCCCTCAGGAAACACAGCACAGCCACAGGCCTTGTCTTCAGCCCAGTTCTGTCCCGAGTCCTCAGCCACAATCTGCCTTTGCATCACCCAGGCTGAGGGCTGCTCCCTCCCCACGCCGGTCTTTGGCTTTTCATGTACGGAAGGCATTGCTTTTTAATGGGACTTAACATGAACTGACCTTTTTACTTTTTCTTCCTTGAATTCAGTGCAGCTTTCGGTCACTTACAGGCTGTTAGAAACTCTGGACAGACCTCATTTACTTATCTGTAAATGTGAAGTTCAGCATGCAGAACTTCCAGCACTCTGACACCGAGGGAAATGCTCACATTGCTTTATGGGGTCCAAATCAGGCTTTATGGGTGAGATTATTCTTCATGAGTGCACACGGCTTGCTCGGTTCCCACTGAGATCAGTAGGAACAAAAAGCAAAACATCACTGTTACTGATGATAATGCATTTACAGTGCAGTCTCACACTGGTTAGCAGTAAGGAGGCGTGAGCTTCCTTCCGAGGAGTGCCAGAATCTCTTGGTTAATAATGAACAAACATGCATTAATTGCATATACAATATTTCACCTCTACACACATCAGCTGAGGAAAGCTTGCAGCTCCACAACAGTTCCTCCTGCCCCCACAGCCCAACAGACACTTCTAAGAAACGTTCTGAGGAGCTGTCAGACAGCAGGATTAATACACAGGGCTCTATGTGTGTCACCAGGCTGACATACCAAACAACACCCTGCTTTCCAACTGCCTCCCCATCGGATCACTGGCACAGAGCTCCGGGCTGCAGCTCTGTCAATGCACACAGCCCCAGCTCCATCACCTCTTCTCCAGCCCACCGTGCCCTTCTTTTTGTGCTGGGATGCAGGAAGAGCTCACATGGCATCAGGAGCCATTCTCTGCCCCCAGCCGCCCTTCAGGCTGTGCTCTGCTGCTCTTCTGCTCTTTCTCTGCTCCCATCTATTTGGATGTTATGCAGTACAGACACGAATAATGCTACAAATATTAATATTTCAGGTTGGTGATGCCCGTGTGGTGTTTCAGCAAGCTCAGGGTGCTCTGGCACTTATGTCAAGTATCCGTGGTCTAAAAACAGGATAAGGGAAACACTGTGTGTTCTGCACATTCTTCTCTTTCCCTTCCCCACCACTGCAGCCCAGCAACCTGCTGTAGTAATTCAGCTCAGGGTTTGGGGCTGTGGTTTGCTCTGATGGCTGTCATTATTTATGTCACACACACCACATTTTTAGAACCATACTGGTTTTGCTCATAAAAACCACATGGCTATAAATCCAAAGTGTTAAAATGTCTCCAAGGCTGGAGCTCAAAATAAATCTCCAGTCGGCAGTACTCCCTGTGTCAGAGGGCTGGGATGGCAGCAGGCTCATATGCAAGAAGCTCTTTCCTTTTCTTATTGTATCCAGAGCTCCCCTCTAAACGCTGCAGTGATGGGCAGTGGTCATTTGTGGCATTAGAGAGAGAATGTCAGATCTGCAGAAATGAATTCAGCGTGCCTTGTTGGGAGTGAAGTCAGGAGCACTAAATGTTGCAGAAAGCTCAGAGGTTGTGCCTCCTGCCTCCTGAGGTGTCCCATCTGAGGCACTGATGCTCCACAAGGAGGGATTCTGATGTGGTTGCTAATCCCTGGGCCAGGAAAGGAGCTGCTCAACATGCCTCACACAGCAGCACGTTGGGCTTGTTGGGAGAACAGTGCTGCTTCTGCAGGGAAGAACAAAGCGAGCGCTGCAGTGCCCGTGCACTGAGTCTGCATTGGCAGACTGATCTACAAAGTCCTGTACTTTTCATTACAAGTGATAGATTCTGAAGAGTTGAACTAATGGTGAAAATGCTTTGGGGGATGCCAGTGACTTACACTACTGCTTTCTCTCCATAGTATGTCCATTCCTACACGGAGAACTTTCCAAATGATGCATTCCAAGAGGTCCTGAAGCATCTCAGTCAGTGTGCTGCTGACTTCCAAGAATCCATCAGGCGTGATACATGCAAGCAGATGTTTATTGATCTCTTCCTACATTGTGATCGTGGACAGGTAAGCAAAGCATCTCCCAACCTGATTTCACTGCTTCCACTTTGTATTTCTCTGGGTCACTGCCTTTTTGTGGTTCGTTCCTCCAAAAACTTTGGCTACTGCACAGCAAACAGTTGCCATTGTTCTGCAGTTCTCTCCTCTACATTTGTGGCATATTCCATTCAGCACTCCTCTAATAATCCTTACAGCTCTCCTACCCAGAATGGACGAATGTGCTCCACAGTGTCGTGCTGATAATGTCATTAGCTCCAAGAGAACGGAATCACAGAGCACATTTTGACACCAATGCTGTGTTTTAGAGAATGGCAGCAAGCTGCTATTTCAGGATGAGGAAAGAAACATATCCATTACTCAGTCAGAAGACATTTCATTTCCCTATAGCTCTATCAATAGCAGAGCTGTGATGGATTCTCCTGGGCAGAGCGATGCATAAAACTGAGTCCCATCACCAACATGCATTCTGAAAGGTTCCCTTCTTCCCCTTTCATGTTTTAGTGTGACTTTCTTCCTGTTACTTCTGTGGCAGTAATCACCACATCCACCCACAGGGGAGATGAACGATGCAAACTGACCCACAGACATGCACACACACAGGGTGACCCATCACCTGTAGCACCCACTCTGCAAAGCACAGCAGAGCAGTTGTTTCAGCTCCTGATTGCCATTCATTCGGCAGCAGGCAGTTATTCCAGTCTGCATGGCGAGCGTGGCTGGCCATCAGAGAGCTGCAATTAGGGCTGAGAAAGCAGTGCTTAAATTACACTCAGATTAGAAGGTACCCACGTGCTTGTGATGATGATTTCAGATGCACGCATCCAGAAGGATGGCAGCTCAGTGTGAACTGCCTGAGCTGTGCAGCAAGGCAGGACCTTCCCAAGGCAGTACCAAAACATGGATGAGTCACCATTTTAATGCCCCCAAAGTACAACAAAGTCTGCCTTCTCGTTACCTCTCCAAGTGCCCATCCCCACCTTGCTCACCAACAAGATTATGGTGGGGCTGAGGATACACACCTCGTGTTTCCAGAAAAGCAGGCAGGCAGTCAGACACCGACCTATCGCTCATTAAATGGCAAGTCTGCTTTTGTCTGCATCAATAAAGGAATTCCACATGGATCAGAGAGCTGAGCTGAAAACAACCACAGATCATCACCTGCCAGCATCGAGGTGACGAGGAAAGGAGGTCAGCACGCTCCCCAATCCCCACAGTTGGCACTGAAAGCAAAGCCAAGCTTTGGGCAGTTGTACAAACACAGATGGCCCACTGTTATTTACAGTGGGCTCTGTACCTGTCCTGCTGATAAGCAAGTCAGTGCAAGGGGTTGGGATGCAGCAATCGTTCATTGGGCTCTTTTTAATAAGACTTTATTCATTGATTTACATCTTCTATAAAATTAAGCTTTGCATTGGTGCTGCCAGCTTCAAGGCAGCCACCAGATGATTGTAATAAGTGACAGCTGAAGAAATGTGAAGAGCAATTTAAGCGTGTACAATGGAAACACTGAATGTAGAATCCAAATATTACAGAGTGATCTGGTAACATCCACATATTTTTGTGTTTGTATGGAGAATCATAGGATCACAGAGTCATTCAGGTTGGAAAAGCTCTCTCAGATCCCTATGTCCATCCCCACTGTGCCCACTGACCTCAGCCCTCAGTGCCACATCCCCACATCCCCCCTCCCTGTAGCTGTGCCACTGCAGCACCACTCTTTGGAGAAGAAATTACCCCTGATATCCAACCTGAACCTCCCCTGGTACAACGTGAGGCCATTCCCTATTAAATAGATGCAAAATTCAATATGAAACGTTCAATTGCAAGACAGAATTACAAGTCAGTGAGTCCTGCCCTTTTTCCTCTAAGAGCAAAATGTGAAAAGGAAATCAATGCTTTGAAAGCAAAGCTACCTGCCACAAATAAACGGAAGCAAATCTGTTATCTAATTAACTACTGTTAATTACTAATGGGAGGAAGATTACAAAGGTGGCAGGACGGAAATAATGACAACAGGAATTCATTGTAACCTGGAAGCCTTGCAATCATTTGCTTTACTTTTTAAACTCACAGTTTCCTGACTGCAAGTGGCCCATTTCTTTGCCTTTTCTTGGTCTGATTGTCTGTACACACTCACTTTGAGTTGTAAGAATTTAATAAACTCTGTGTTTTCCTCTGCACTCACCTCTCCCACTCCTGTGCTCAACTCTGCATGAATATCTGAAGGAAATTTGGGTGGTTGTCAGATCTGGGGGCTCGTGATCTTCCCAGGCAGTTGGACAGATGATGCTCCAAAGGAAGCAGTGGGGCACAAAACCGAACCTCGGTGCCATGCAGCACAATGGCAGTCCTTCCATGGTGCTCTCAGGCAATCCTTACCTATCCTGAAAGCATCAGCTGTCATAGGATGTGCTTGCACAGCACTGTGTAACAAGTTCCAGATGAGCCCAAAGAAGGAATTTTTGTCCTTGTAAAATGAACTGACTTCTTTGAAACATGTTCCCACGTTCTGCTAATGGATAATGTTCTGTCATACAGAGTTCTTAGCTAATCTGTGATGCCTTTTAATGCTCCAAATGTCCACGTGAGAACCAGAGAAAGAAAGCAGAACAGTAACTGTCATCTCTCTGTCTAGGTTGGTGTCTTGGATAGAGCCCAAATACTTGGCATGCTGGAGCAGTTCTATGAGAGAAGCTCTGTGTGTGCCAGGAGGAGATTCTGCAACCCCAAAGAGTGTATGTGGGGTGTTTCAATTATACAGCACCAATCTGTCTTGTTAATATCCCTTTTTAAGTACGGTTGGGAATGGACCTAAATGGGCAGTGTGAGCTGTACAGCATCATCTGTAGACGTTTTGCAAACTGTGATGCAATGCTCAGAAATACTGCAGCATCACAAACCTCTCCTTCCTCTGCCATTCCGTAGTGCTTCTCCTGAACAAATTCTTTCTTACTGGGGGTTACTGGAAGTTTATGTTCTGTTTACACAAAAACTTCTCTGGGAATTTAGAAGAATAAAGAAAAATCACAAAATCGTCTACATGAAAGTAAGGTATTTTAAAGTATTGGACATCAGTTAACTGCTGGGATCAAATCCAAGGCAAATTGCAGCCTTCCTTTTTGCATGGAGAATTACAAAAACGTGTTGCAGAAGAAACATGGAATAAGAGGCAATAAGGAACAGTTCTTTGCAGGGAAAGATTATGCTTAAGTTTGGCTTTTCTGAGATGGATGTCTGCAGAAAATATTTTCACTCTTTGACACTGCATTGTTTGTGAGGGAATGCCATTTATTTTGGTTTAGTCGAGTTTTTGTTGTCTTGTGCAAACCTAGAGAACAAAACCAGTGCAAGCCATCAACTTATCCATGTTGTTTCTGCATTAGGGCCAGTAGGTGAACTGCAAGAGGTCAGTCTGGAGGATCTGTGGGGAGACATTGAGAACCAGGAAGATTTTGAGGAACCCAGAGAAGGTTTGGTCTTGTCTCAACCAGAGATTTCTGAGAGAGAAGTTTTAGCAGGTGATAACAGGCAAGGCAGTGATGGAACGAGCACCATTGTCAGAGGTCTTTTGGAACAAATGGATGTGAGTGAAACAGAGACTGGAGGAATTCCTGAGGAAGAAAACCAAGCTGCGGAATCAGGTGGTGCTGAGGTGAGGAAGGGAGGTGACAAACACTGATTTTGAACCTGGTGATTTGGATGGAGATAAAATACACAGTGAGAGGCACAATGAGTCTGCAGGAGGGAGGAAGCTTCCCCAGGGCAGCTTCTGCTCAGAACTGTCTCAGCAGAGATGAAACTGAATCTGACAGACCAAAACAGTCTGAAGATGCACCTGAAGCTATGAACAAGATGTCAAAAGACAAAGCTGTGGCAGACACTGATGTCATTGCTTCCAAACAGGATGCTATGGCTGCAGAGGCCGTGGAGGAACCTCCTGCAAGAAAAGAGGGTTTCACAAGGCAGCACAGCCACTGGTCTGAACAGCAGACAAGCTCAGGGACAGCACTGCAGGACGAGGACCGTCTGCAGGAGCCAGGTGAAGGTAAAGGCTTCTCCTTTGTTGTGGCAGTCCTTAACCTTCAACATATACATTTTTATCAGATCAGCTACAAGAGCACATGCATGTGAGTGATTTCTGACCAGGCAAGCCTTTGGTATCTGCTCCGTGTGATGTTTTCCATTAGGGTTTCATCACTGGGAGCTCACGCTGTACGCTCTGGTTCACAGATGATTTGTTTTTAACACTGCAGGCCCAGCCCTCTCAGATGGACCAGGTTCTGCTGCAGCAGACAGCCAGGAACGTAAGGAGCCACGGCCAGGTACTGCTCATGTCAGATCTTCTCACCTCTATAATATGTGTGTATGTAACAGCTCTCACAAAAGCTGTATCTTAGGACTTTTTATAAATCTCATGTCCTGCATTTTGTCTTTCATCAGGTGACCTTCTCACCTTCGATCTAAGCTCCAGGCACGGGAGCCATGGAGAGAAAATTCCAGAGGACTGGGGCTGTGAGAACAGATTTCCAGGTATTTGGCCACAAAACTGTGCTTTCAGTGGGCACACAGTGACTGGCAGGGTCTGTGGGTGTGCTGTGAGCAAGAACACAAACACCAACTGCTGAAAGCTGACTGCAAGGTGGGAGAGCAGCATAGCCTTAGTCTCACGAGGTGGGTCTCTCTTTCAGTTAACCCATATTCAGTGCTTTGCTCTAATTGTACACTAGTATCCATGCTAGACTGGAGCAAAAATCAAAGAATCTGAATGCAAAAAGTGCAAACAGATCAAGGCCTTCGATCAGCACTGACTCAGTCTGCACACAGCCCACACGGCTGGGAAGCACAGGGCTCAGGAGCGCCTTGCAGTCGGTGCAGCACAGCAGGCAGCTTGCTGTGACACACGGTGCTCACTGCCTTTCAGACCTCCATCCCACCGTGGCAGACATTCAGAGCCGCCGTGCTCCTCGGTTTGGGAGCCCCTTTGATGGAAGCTGCCTCAACCTGCCGCGCTTTGTTCAGCTCATGGAGACGTTCGTCGGGGAAGGCATCGCTCTGCCTGCTGTGAAGGAGCTCGTTGGGTTCATCAAAGAAGAATACAAACAGACCGAAGAGGAAAAAGTGAAACAACTAGAAAAAGTAAATGTTTATAAGTTTTGCTGATCACGTGTCCACAGACAAAACCATGCAAATGCCTGGAGACAACGACACAACCAACTTGTAATGCTGTGCTGGCAGAGCTATTCATTACAGCCCCGCATTCTGTATTTCTTCTGCCCTGTTGTTTCCCCATCCTCAGCCCTGAGCTCTAGCAGTGAGGACACACTCATCCTGTAGGAGGTTATCTGTTCTGGAGCTGGACCCAGTGAGACAGCAGGTTGATGGTGAAGAGCTCAAAACATTCTGTTCTGCTTATTCATGTTCATGGCAGCCATGAACCTGATGTCTGACCTACTGCTCTGGCACGCACACATGAAGTTATGGGTGTTCTGGGGGGGGCTTTGAGGCACCCCTCCAACATGCAGCTTTTGCTGTATGTGCACAGATATTTGAGAATGTGGGCGTTTCTTTGTGTTTAAGTTACAAGGGGCTTTTGCAAAGTGTTGGAAAAATATACCTCCTTTCAGCAGTATTCTCATACTCAGCATCATGTACATATATATATTTAAGTCCCTGTATCTCCTGTGGGCCTGTTCACGGTGTTTTCTCTAGCTGTGCCTTCCTCAGACCTCTCTCTGGTTTCCCTCTGTGCTGCTGACCTAATTTGGATGAGATATTGGATCTGACGGCTCCGCTGTCCTCACACGGAGCGCAGCCCCCTGCTGCTATTTCAGCCTTGGACACAATGCCACCCAGTGCCATTTATCACCACACACCGCACCAAGGCTGGTGCTGAAGGAGAAACTGCATGTGCATTTCTTGGAGCCCATACATTTCAGGGCAGAACCAGGCAAACAGCATGGAAATACACACTGTCAAACCTTTGGGTACTGCTGGCAAGGCTCTGCTTAGTTCTTGCCATGGAGACAGTTTGTGCTCTGGGAAATTCCCACTTGCCTGAGTTGGTCTCATCTCTCACCCATAGGAAATGCCCCTCTGCAGTTCTGATTCTGCCAGGTAGAATTGAGCTATCTGCTCCATTTAGTGCTTCCAAACATCTCCCTGGTTTCATGATTCATCTCTGAGCTGTCTGCTCACAGTTCTGCCCTGGTCTGTAGGGGTTGTGTGATCAACCCAGTGCTACAGCTCCCATATTTGTGCAGATGTTGAGCATCGCTGTTGAGGAAGCACCAAACAGGAGCTCTTTCTCTGTTGTAGGCACATCTCACCTCTCGTCTGACCCGACGGGAGCTGCTTCTGGAGGCTCTTTTTGAAAAGTGGGACATCGACGCATCTGGGTTTCTGGAGATGAAAGAGGTGGAGGCTGCTATGAATGCATTCAAGGAAGGAATGGAAAAAGAGGCTGTGAGGAAAGGTAAGGAAACAGCTCTGCTCTGAGAGGAGTCATACAATGTCAACACAATAGGCCTTAAAGCATTCAAGGACAATGCTAATGAATTTGTTGGCAAACACCTGGAATGTTTTGGTTTTGCAAGCAGTCGTAAGCACACAAGGCCTGATGTATAAAATGAAAAGGAACTGTTATCCTGACCTGCTTGTTGATGCACAGCTCCATCCCCTCCTCTGCAGGACTCTCCAGGGAGAGTGGTTCATAATCACAGAGGTAGCCCAGCACTGCCACAGCATTGTGATGTGTTGAAAAATGGTACTGGCAGTAATATGGAGTGTATGCTCCTGAGACAGCAGTGAAAACAAACCAACCAAGCAACAAAAACCCTAAAGCCTGAGGACAGGCTTCATACTTTTAGTCTAGCCTATGTTATCCTGTTATTTTTAATAGATATATTTTACTACAGATCCATACATGGCTCATGTGGTGTTCAGTAATCCATACTCCTGCTCAGTTCTCATGAATGAGATGGTAACTCCAAGTCTCACTTCACTATTAGTCCAGTAATGTTGGTCCTCAGCAGAGGCCTGGGGCAGCCAGAAGTGCAGCAGGTTCACCCAGGTCTGTCCAGCAGGCTTCCTACATGGGCATCACTGCAATACCATGTTAGCAATCAAGAACATGTCCTATGTGTGCCTGCGTGGAGTGGACAGGTTTATTCATCTCCACACACTGTTGAAAAGGGCTCATTTTGGCAGGCAGCAAAATCTCTGTATTCTTTTGCTGATTCCAGCAGCTGCTGGGATGGGCAGCACCCCGTCCTGCTGTTAATCCCCCCCAGGCTGCACAGCCACAGAAGGAAATGGTGCTGCACAGCTCTTCTGCATTTGCAGCACTCCAGAACGTGCTTACAGGAGCACAGAGGGACACAGTCCCTTCCACAGAAGCCTTATAAACTAAAGGGACAAATAGATAGTATAGCAAAATCAAGACCAGAAGCAACAGAAAGCCGTTTGCAGCAGCTCTGACATCACCTCCTGAAGGCATCATGGAGCAAACTGGTTTGGAGGAGGGGCTCACAGACATTGCAGTTTTGTGGAGGAAAGTGGGTGGAAAGATCTGATTTTCCTTGTCAGTGAAAAGTGTAACCTTACAGATGGAATGGGGAAACAATTCAGTGTGCTGTGCTTCAGTAGAGGAAAAGCTGGTCAGCTTCACGTGTATTTCTTCATTTCTTTTGTCATAGAGGAGAAAGTGGAGGTCAAAATCCAAACATTTTTACACCGTCAGTGAATTCTCCATCCTATTTCTGTCAGTAAATGAAGAAAAAAAAAAAAGCCTGTATCTCCTTTAGATAATGGGCAGGCTAAGGTAGCACTGGCAGGCAGCTGTGATGTGACTGAGGGCAGTTAGTGTGTGCCACTGCAGCTCACAGCACTGAGAAATGCACCAACAGCCCCACTTCCCCCTGTGCAGCCTGTGCCACTGCATCACTGCTCTTTTGGAGGACTTGTTCCTAATATCCAACCTGAAACAGGCAGCAGCTCTTCACTGTTGAGGCGTTTTCCACTCTAATGTATTCCTCCCAACCCACGGAGTTTGTTCCTTTTGCACCACATCTGCTGCTGCAGTGCAGGTGATTCCAGAGCAGCCGTTGTCCCACCCTCTGTGCTCCTTCAATGGAGCTTCCATTTGCTTTGATCTTCATTTATAAGAGTTAGCACAATACAAATGTTAGTTCAATAATTCATCAAAGGCACCGAAAGGAGGATAATTAAGAGTGACTTTGGGAGGCCTCAAAGGGAAGTCATGATGGCTGAAAGCGTGGTATAGAATGGAATATCCAGGTATGGGAGTGATCTGTGAAATCATCCATAAACTCTGGCCTTCACATTTACAATAGCAGAGGTGAGTAGTTTTTCTGTAAACCTGTGCCTACATGCAGCCCAGTCCCACCAGCCCCTCAAGTGCCCATAGAACTTGGTTCTGATGAGCAACGCCTCTGGTTTTTCCTATTTTCCATTGATCTTTATTTCTTAGGCATCCTGTAGAGGTGCAGAAGGAGTAATGCTGTGCAGGTTTCTTTCTCAGTAGGTGAGAATGAAGGCATGTAGTGGAAAAGGTACAACCCATCCTGAAGCTGCAGATTACCTCTCGTGATGACAACTCACTTTAGGAGGTAGCTGGAAGAAGCCCAGAGTGATGGGCTGGGCTGCCCCAAAGCCAATTTAGGGCATAACTTGTGCTTTGCACAGAAAAAGCAAAACATATCATTCAAACAGATTGTCCCTATCTTGTTTTCTGTTTCTCCCATTAGCAAAAAACCACTTTTGCTCACGTTACCCTCAGCTTGGCAGAGTGGGGAAGCTATCCCCAAAGGCATTCCAAGCTTTCCTTGAGTTGGTGGCTTCTGAGCTCACTGGGGGTGAGGATGAAGTTATTGATAACATCGTGGAATTTCTGACCACGAGAGTGGAACGAAGTCACAGGCAGTGCTTGCAAAGCTCGGCGAGGAGGAGGTGGCTGCACAACATCCAGCAGGCGGCCGAGAGCAGCGGAGCACGCATGGACCCGGTGTACGACGCCGTGCTCAAGGCCCTCCTCAAGGTATTGGACCCTGGGAATGGGAGTTTGTCGTGTCGGTGCTGTGAAACCAACCTCCAACCCCGGTGCTTGGAGGGCAGCTCACAGCTTACAGGAGCTGAGGATGCTGTCCCTGTGCTCCCTGCTCGGCGATGGTGTTCAGGAGAGCCAATGGTTTTGCACAGTCACAGGGGAGATCCAAGATAGAAGTCCAATTTCCATCCCCTTTTGGAGATGAAATTCATAGTTCTGCTTAGGCCCTGGGTATAGTTCAGCTGGTTGTTTCAATGACAGGAAAAAAGAAAGCTGTGTTCTCTCTGGCAGTCAGCACCCAAAGTGGTTTTGCTTGTAACAGAGCACACCAGTCAGCCTCAATCACAGCACACACATCGTGCATGACATGCAAAATCAGTGACCCAGAGCTGCGTGTCAGCACAAATGAGACAAGCGATAAGTACATGAAATAAGTGTAATGGCCAATGGCTAATGTACATAATGTAACAGGAAACATTTGGTTGCTAGGATGCAGAAGCCCACGGGGATAACAAGAAGATCAGTGCATATATTGCCCTTTTGGAAGAAAACCAGCTCTCACCAGAGCGGGGACAGACGCTCTTACGCTATGTGACATGTACCACAGATGATGCTCCGTATGTTCTAAACCAGACACTCTACAGAGACATGAAAGGAGTAAGGTAAGAAAAGCTACCAATAGTTTCCTTTATTTGAGAAGTGCTTGCAATGCAAAGGTACCCAGCAGTGCCTGGAGGTGCTCTGAAAACAGAGGTTGATCGGCTGCTCCAGAGAGGAACGTCCCTCAGGGACCCCTGTGGGATTATTCATTATCATACAGATGCCCTAATGCTTTGCATGGTCTGCTCAGAACTGCTCTGTTTGGGATTCCACTCCTTCCCTTGGGTGATTAGCTCACGGCCTCACAAATCTCATCCTTCAGCAAAGTCCGTTACTCTGGCCCTACGCTGCCTTGTCTGGAAATTGATGTCCTTACAACAGTTTACATCCACTCAGATAGTTTTTGAGAACAGTGCTTTCCTTCCTTAATGTTTGAAGTACAAACAGCTTTCCTGCCTCTTTATGTCTTATTTCCATAAGCTAAACGCATTTAAATACTGCTGCTTCTGATCTACAGAATGTAACAGCTGCTCCCTTCTGAATTCCTCTTCATTACATTCATTAGTTGGCGCTTTTACATTGTCTTAAGGACAAAAAGTGCCTTATTTATTCCCATTCTGGGATGCGAGCGATAAATGGAAGCTCGTCACAAACCTGCCCGCATGTTTATTTTTCAGCTTTGCAGCTGTTGAAGAGAAAAAGCCAATCCATGTCCCAAGAGTTCAGCTCCATGGAAATATCCACTTCTGGAACCAGGACCGCCCAGCTGAGCAGAGGAGAGGCTCCTTCCTGGTTCTGCCATTGCAGGATGCTCACTGGAGAGTCTTTGGCACTCTGGGACTTGATACTCTTCGAGACCAGAGTGAGAAAACCATCTTCCTGACCCATGAGATCAGCTTCTACCAGGTGGGCACCACCAGAAAGCAGTTTGTGAGTCTGAACTACAAAAAAAATAAAATAAATGGGAAAGAACACTGAATTTTTCAGGTTTGCTCTGAGATGTAAGATGGCACAACACAGAAAAAAAAAACAAACAGTGGCTCCTTTTCATTGTGTGTGATAAAACGGTGTGTGAGCAGAACACCTTACCAGTACCGTGCTGATTAACATCTTCTTTGTAACTGATGATCAGATATCATCTAATCAGTCATTTATTAAAGCTTCTCCTGCAAACCTGACTATTACATTGCCTGTGCAAAGCCCAGAGAGCAGCTTTATTTACCGAGGCTCCGAATCTCAGATCTGTGTTCGCTTCTACGAGGTGGCACAAAAACCCAACACAAAAACTATTTACGCGATAGTTTAATCACAAGCAGCAGCAGGCTGGGTTTCCTTGTGATGCAGCATTGCTCTTTAGAATCTGCCTCACTGCGGATGCATCGTGCGGGCAGCAGGGAGCGCAGCGAGCCAACGTTATCAGCTGGTTTGGCTGCGCATCACCGCAGAGAGCAATCACAGTGCGTGGCTGTGACCTGGGTGCCACGGAATCTCAGAGCCTGCTTTAATAACATACATTTCACAGTTACTTTTCACCTTTACAAGCTGTCATTAAAGTGATTATTACAACCGCTTGGCTTCATTTTGTTGCATGATCCTAATTGTTTGGGTTTTGTTTTTTTCCTAACTCATACAGAACTGCCTGGCTCATTTCCAGTGTTCTGCTTTCACAGGGAGTTTCTCATGCATTCAGCAAAGCCTACCAGCATGTGTGTGCACTGGGAAGTGTCCTGCAAATGGCCCTCACTGCTCTGGACTGGTTGCATCACAGAGTGCCCAGCATCCACGCTGTCAGTACGTACCTGGTGGAGCCTGGCAATGATCAGGTATGCAGATTACTGATTAGGAAGATTGTGCTGATTAAAGGTACACAGGGCTGACAGGCCTACTTAAGTTGGGGAGATATATCGTTTCTGGGTGTCTGTGATTTCCCAGTGCTTTTGTTGTCAAACTGAAGCCTGTCTGAGATACTTGTGCCTGCCTGAGTATCAAAAGGTATAGAGGTAGAGAGGGAAGGTTTCCTCTGTAAAGGAGGGTGCTCTTCATTATTTTCATCCTCTCATGTAAACTTTCTCCATGGCACAAGAGAATGTTCTTCTACTTCAGAGTAAAACCCTCCACCTACTCAATGCATCCTTCCATCAATCCTTCCATCCATCCATGCATCATCCATCCATCCACATCTTAACCCCTGCTAAAGCTTTGCTATTTGAGACCCCCACAAAGGGAGATGCCCTTCAGTGGAGATCCTGTGCATGGTGGAAAAAAAGGAATGCCCAAAGGTTTCTATCTGAACCAAGAGCTAAGGACAGTGCAGGAAGGGCTGCTCCCACTTTGGCAGCTTGTAAAGGCAGCCCATCTCTGAGCAGATCCCAGTGGTTCAGCAGGCATTCGAGCCCTGGGAAGCTTGTCACTTCATATACAATAAGGTAAGGAGATGAAAAGTGTATGTAATATTAAGGATCCCATGTCTCCACAATGCCTGTTACATCTGCTGAAGCCGTAATTCATCTGCTTCCTCTGATAAGCATTGTTTTTGTTGGAAGCTTTCTGTTGTCATTCCAGGCTCTGCCCTGTCCCTCGTTAACTGCCTGATAGCCAGGTCATGTGTCAAGGCATGCTGACACAAATGTGCCATGAGAAATGAGGACTGTAATATGATGTGAAAAAGAAAGGAAACCTCTTCCTCAGCCTGCGGGTGTTCCTTGGTGTGGAGCCTGGGGATGCATCAGATGGTTTGGCTGAGGGAGGGTCCAGGCACATTCTTCATGCACCCTGAGCAAGAAGGGGAATAAAAACAATGCCTGGTAATAAAACCAGGCATTGATGGGAAATGTCTTCAAACCATCTCATGGCACTCGAATGTATGTGGGAATTTTAACACACATACAAACACTTTCTCTCCTCTCCAAGCTTCACAATGGCTGTTCCTCTCCTGCATGCAGCCAACCATCCCTCTCCTCTCTGACAGATGCGTGACTACGCTCTGCGCAGAACGATTACTACAGACACTACAGGACAAAAGGAAATCCACACCTCTCCTGTCCTCCTCCTCAGAGAAGAGAACCTTTTCAGGTGGGCTCCAGCACTTGCAGTCAGATACCAGACACCCCTGGTCCCAGATCCCAACCTGCACAATGCAGGTTGGATCCCTGCCACAGTGCTGCCCAGAGCTTCTCACTGCTGAGGCTCCAGGTGTGGATATATGTGATACTGAATGCTGAAAGCACAAGGTGCATTTTCTATTGGATTTTAGGCCGGCAGAAAGTTAGCTTCCATCTTAATGCTTACTGGATGAGCTGCCAAGCAAGCTCTGCATCTGTTGTGAAAGGTTTGCAGGATCAGAGCCTATAGTGAAGCATTTCACTATTTACAGTAATCTGCCTCTTTTTTTCCTGGCTATATTTGTCTCATTTCCTGTCATTATCTGTTTCCTTCAGCTGCCAGGATCCTCACAGGCTTGTCTTATGTATATCAAACAAGAAGTTGTTTTTAAAGTGAGAATACAACCTCGTTTTAGGTTTGTTAAATTGTTGTGGTTTTCAGCAGTTGCAATTTTCAGCAATATTGTGTTCCAAAATGTAATTTTCTCCATTCTGTATATGGCTTTAACGAGACTTAAATACATTCATATTTCAGTTAAAGGAATTAAACAATAATTGTAAGACAATACCTTTGTTTCAACAGCAAGAGATGAATGACCTGTAACTCAAGCATGCTAAAGTGCCCAGAGGGACTGGAGTGGTAAAGCTGTGGGCTTACTCCTCTCTTTACTCTCATTTCAGAGATTACCTGTTTAAGTGCATAGATTGTTCAGAGGTCGTTTGCAGATCTGTCTGTGGAGAACAGCACATTGCAGTGCCTCTCCGGGACCCGTCGGGACGAGCTCTGGGGTTATTTGATATCAGCATCAGACCCCACCAGACATTGTCCTCCCATGAACATAAGGAGCTGCAGAGAATGCTGAAGATGACCCAAGCTGCCTGCTCAGAGATACTGAAGATGCCTTCAGAGGAAACCAAAGCAAGCTGTGTACTGGGTATTGTGCACACAGAGCCAGGAGAGATCGTTAGGGGTAAAAGCAGGAATCACAGTAAAGCCATTTCTGAAGTATCATTTGTGCAAGTACAAATGATACCAAAGACCTTTGGTACAGGTACTACTCCTGAGCAAGCCCAAGGGCTGAGCAGAGTCCACTTAAGCAGAAAGTTTAGATTTTGGCTTTGGTTCACAGGATTGCTACTGAAATCAAAGGTGTGAAGCAAGGTGCTGCGTTCAGGAATATAGCATCTTCTGCTCAGTGCCCCAGCTGAGATGGAAAGGATCTGTGTCACAACTACCTGTGTGCCTGGGCCCTCTGGGCTCTCAGGACTGCTCTGTAACATTTATGGCACCTGTCTAATCCCCTTAAGGCATTCAGCAGTCTCAACACATCACACTTATGTTACAGAAAGCTTTGCCTCCTAAAACACATAACCTTCTGAAATGTGTCATAGGACACTTGTGTTGTAAAAGCTCTTTGTTAAGGAGAAAATGAGTTAATTACAAAGAGGCAGAGCTGTTCAGCCAATAATGTAAGTCGAGTAGTGAATGTTTCCGAGCAACTTCTTGAAAGGTTTGCTTGTGATTCCAGAGGCAGAACACAGGAATGTGAGGCATGCAGGGATTCTCTTCCACCGGCTCATGCTGCAGGACCTGCGTGAGCGTATCCAGAAACTGAATGCTGAGAGCTTTGCTGAAATCAAGAGCTATGAAGACCCACCAGCTCTGGTACATAACACAATGAAGGCTGTGCTGTTGCTTTTACATCCAGAGTGGGAGGGCACGGAGAAGATTGAGAACTGGAATCAGTGCATACTGGTGAGACGTTTATTTCTTCCTTTCAGTCTCCCACTTTCTGACTTAGCATTTCTAGAAGTGCTGCCTGCAAGTTTCCTACAGGCCAACCTTAGCCAGCTTTAATTCTGTAACTCTCTCTTAAGGTTTTCACCACCTGACCTTCTTTGTTCTCTGCATTGCAGCAACTTGATGACAATTTAATTGAGGAGATGTATTGCTTTGATCCCACTGCTGCATCTGTGCACATTCAAGCAGAGCTGGTACAAGACTGTATCAATGGTAAATACCACACAGTAACTGAGATGATCAGACACAGCTCAGCAATGAAACACTGTCAGTAGTGACATTCAGCTGAGTGCTTTCAAGTCCTTACTTCCAAAACTGATTTTGATTGTTTAATTTTGATAGATTAAACAATAGATAAGGGGTTCCTAAATATCTGCAGACTATTTTTGGTCAGTAAAAGTCAACTTGTTATATTTCTTATCAAAACTCACTGCTTTGAGGGAAGGGGAGCAGATCAGCTTTGAGAGCTAGCAGAACTGGTGATCTCATTGTAAATCTGTAGGTAACATGCTAACAAATATGAGTTTTTTGGGGGCACATAATCTGTTCTGTGTACATCATACCTGCTGTGCACTAGGCAATGACCCAGCTCCAAACAAATCATGGGTGTGGGAGCACAGTGGGAGCCCTCCTGCTCATAAACACCATCTGCCAGGTACTCCATACACTCATTGGCCATAAACAGGAGTTAGGTTTCCATCTGTCTTTCCCTCATTTAATGAATATGAGCTTTTTTTGGTGCCAGAGTACTCAAGAGGCTACTACTATTTTCAGTCTCTCTGCAGGAGAAGCAACTGGTGTTCTTGTTGACATCTTTCCCTTATTGATTTGATGACAGACTGAGAGGCTTGTTAAAATTAAGTGTGGACAGACTTACTAATTCAGCTGGGGATACTCATTAGCAGTGACCTTCCTACCACTGAGCAGTGAGCAGTCATAGCTCCTTTGTATGTGTTCCCATGTACATCAGACTAATTCTGGAGAGAATGAAGCAGGCCTCGAGCATCCAGTCCTCCTAGGTTCAACTGGAAAGGGTATCGCTTTGGCAAATTATTGGAACTTATTGTGGGACAGCAGTGTGAGATCAGTGGTGTGAAATCAGTACGACTCACGAGGGAAGGGTCTGGAGCACAAGGCTGATGGGGAACAGCTGAGGGAAGGGTCAGTGTGAAGAAGGAGAGACCCAGGGGAAAGCTCACTGCCCTCTACAACTCCTTGATAGGAGCTTGTGGTGAGGTGGGGGTTGGTCTCTGCTCCCAGGTAACAGCAACAGGATGAGAGGAGATGGGCTCATGTTGTGCCAGGAGAAGTTCAGGCTGGTTGTTAGGAAACTTTTCTCCTCTGAAAGCATGGTGCTGCAGTGGCACAACTGCCCAGGAAGGCAGGGGAGTCCCTGACCCTGGAGGTGTCCCAGAGCTGTGGAGATGTGGCACTGTGGGCTGTGGTTGGACCTGGGGATTTGAGAGCTCTTTTCCAACCCAAATGGTTCTGTGATGCTATGAATTCCTTTTAAACGAACATCAGTGTTCACACACAGTGTATGTTGGACAATACCCCTATATTCTATAGGCACGTCCTGGAATATGGAAGCACATAACCCACACCCCACTCCCAGGGCGATGTTTAGAGGTATGACTCTATGGTTTCAATCCGGCAATGGTTTCAATTTGCAGTGACAGCTCTTCTCTGTTGCAGGGGCACCTCAGGCAGCAGTTTGGCCGCAGGGCTCCATCACAGCCCGGCTCCTGGAGCACTGGGTGCAAACCTGTCTGTGCCTGGTCCAGCTAACAGAGAGCATGCAGAGCAGCACGGCCCCATCCTGCAGCACTGCCCACAGCAACGCCTCCTGTTAGACCACCAGCTGCTCACCTACCCTGTGCTCCTGTCTCATTAATTAACCGTTTGCTTTTATTAGTTATGCATTGCAACTCAGTGCTTGTTAAGACGGTTCGTTAGGTGCCATTGAGGGCAGTAAAAACATAATTTTGTTAGTATGAATCTATCTGCTAAGCCTTAAAAAGGCTGCTTGAGGATTTATTATTAAAGTTCCAATAAGAGAGGCTGGGAACACTTGATGGCAACAGCACTCCGAAGCCGTACAGCACAGAAGCTCAGGGTTCCCTCTCCTTCAGTCACATTTCAGAAGCAGCTCTAATTGAGGGCTGTTAATCAGCACTGTTAGCAGTTATAGGCGCGCTGCATCACAGCCCCGCTGTTTTTATACAGCCCCCAACTTAAGCCTGCAGCAAGGCTGCATCTGTGCAACGCTCCCTCTGGCAGAACGGCTTCTTTTAATAAAACTTTGGGAAATTAAAGCCCTCTTTCTCTCTTTCACGCTTCCACGTGTGCGGACGGAACGCCGGTCCCGCAGCGCCCGCAGGCGGGGGGGGGAGGGACGGGGGGACGCGCGCTGCAGATCGCTGCCTATCCGCAGCGGTATTTTCGCCACTCGCCATTCCGCCGTTACAAAATTCATCCCCTACCTCTATCCCTTCCCGCTCGCTCCCTGCGACCCTTCTGGAGCTAGAAAGGAGATCGGCGCGGCGGGTGCGCCTGAGGGAGGGAAGTAGAAAGCGGCAGAAAAAGGAGGAATCTGCGGCCGCGGAGCAGCAGGCGGCTGTGCCCAGCGGCGGCCGGGACAAGATGGCGGCGCTAAGCAAGCAGTGAGTGCGGGCCGCGGCGGGGTGGCGGTAAATGAGGGGCGCTACGGGGTCGCCGCCGAGGACGGGCACGGGCGGGTTCCGCCTCGCCTCGGGCCGGGGCTGGCGCTAACGGAGCGCTCGGTCGTCCCACTCGGTGTTTGTTGGCGGGCAGCGTCCTCACCGCGTTGGCCTGAACGTAAAACTCGTCAAACTGTGTTCGTTAAAAAGTAAATTACACGCGAGGGGCGGCTGCGGCGGCGCTGAGGGGACGTTTTCGCTCCAACGAAGCCGAATCTCTTCAGGATTCGCAAAAAAACCGCCGTCTCCCGGCGCGGCCCAACCGCCACCTCAGAGCTGGGCCGCCCCAGGGCCGCCCTGTGACGGGAGCGGGAAGCGGGGCCTGGTGATTGCCCCGGCTCCACCTGTAAGCTGGTAGCGCACACTGCTGGCCAAAAGTGTCTACAGAGCTGTGCGTGAGGGTCAGCCCTCTGCGAGTTAAAGAGCAGTCGTTTCTTCCTTCTCTGAGGAGGGAAGAAAGAAAAATGATTTAGAGAATTGTGGCCTAATTTAGGAAGATGGGTAGTTTATCCATAAACTTCGTGTGGAAAAAGGCTGATGGTGGCAGTGGGAGAAGCTGGCAGCTGTGCTGCCACCAGCACTGCCCTGAGCTGTGCTCTGTATGTTTTATAGTGCTGCTCGTCTTCTGTTTCTGGAGTTGTACATAGCAGAGCTCTGTTTTGGAACCTGCTTTGTGTACATTGCATGAAAGATAACTTTCAGTGTTTTTCCCTAGATATGGGCTTATTATGCCCAAGAAATTGCAGCAGAAGAATCTGGCTTCCAACAAGCTCTCAGTGTTTGCAGATGACTCTGATGATGAGGTCAGTGTAACTAACAGTTTTCTTCTGATACTTGCACTGTATTCTGTCAGTGATTTGCTTACAACCATAAAGTACACATCTGCTCGTGGCCATGGTACTGAGAGACAATCATTTGGGTGCAGATGATTTGTAATCCTCAAAGCACTCAGTTCTGCTAATAAGAGGTAACACTGTGTACAGGATTTCAGTGATCACACGCTTTATTGGTGCTCGGTGATGTGTGACTACACTGCATGACATTCATAGTCTTTATTTGTTTTTAAGGTGTTAGAATGAAAATATTAACTTTCTACTTGTTCCAGTAGAGGGGGCTGCACTCTAAAAATTACACTTCAGGATGGAATGCTGCATGGGGTGCACCTGAGAACTGGCTCAGCATTTAGGCTGGTTTGGGTGCTCACAGATACCCGTGTTCTTAAACAGAAGTTTTGAAGAATTTAAAGTAGCTTTTTAGTCTATGGGTAAAGGATAGGAACGCAGAGCTGTGGAGGAGACCTGTCTCTATATGGATAAGTGCTAAGGTTGCAACTTCTTTCTCTCTGTTTCTGGAGATGAGGTTGCAGTTTACTGAGTAGTATCAAATCAGAAATTGTCTGTGATAGTTTAATCATTATGTCATTACATGCATGTTATACTTTTTTTTTTTTTTTTTACCCAAAGCCCAGCAAACATTGTTTTGATTGTGTAGTTGCAAAGAACAGTGCTCATTAAGCATCAAATAATATTTGTCAGTTGCTAATTCCTATAACCAAACATTTTAAATGTTTTTTAATGAACTGCTAGCTCTTATGTTTTGTGACTATAAGCCCAAATCTAACATTTGCCAACCTCTGTGAGAGGCTGAATCCCACCTGCTGCTGCTGAGGGTGTTGGAGCTGCCTTTGTACAGTGCATGAGAGGGCTGAGGGCTTCCCAGTGATATCCAGTCAGCCTCAAATGTGAAACTGCAGCTTATAGGAAATGCAGAGGATGTGAACATGTCTGACATGCCATCTCTCACCTCACCTAGCTGCATCCTCAGTGCCATGCGGAGGTGTTCCTCTGCTTCAGCTCATAGCTGACAGCTTGGCTCCAAGGAGAGACTTTCCTTTGAGCACAGCTGATAGGGATGATAGGATCCACTGCCCTCTGGGGCAGCAGTATTTCCCTTTTCTGTGGCAGTTTGGGATTTCGTGTCCTTCTCTACATCTGAGGATGGGCTCTGTTTTCCAGAGCCCAAGAATGAGCTTCAGTTGATGAGTTGTCATCGTACCTCAAATGGTAGGGCTGGAAGCCCTCCTGGCTGGAAGGTGACTTGTTTTTTTTTTTCACTTCTGCATTTTCTCGTTTTAATTTTAGGAATAAAATAATGAATTATAACAATTATAATAATAATAACAGTAATAGTAACAATGTATGGTGCTGCCAGCTAACTTGTACTTAACAGATCAAGTATTTTTTCTGTCAGAAAAGCTGACATTCGCTACCAGAGTCTGTTATAAAAACTCTTAAAAGTTGTCATGTGCATTGGTATGGTACATCCCCAGCAAAATGTAATAATCTCATAACTGCCTTTATCAAAAAAAGGATCACTTTTAAAAAAAGCAAAATTACTTTATTAGTTCAATAATAATTTCAGAGCTTTCAAGATAAGGAGCTGCATTTGGGAGGGGTTTCATTTCCTGTCTGCTAGCTTATCACTCAGAACTACATCTCAAACGTCTGGAGATTATGTATTTTTAACTGAACTCTAATAAAGTTTGTGCTGGGAAATCTGCACACCTGACTTGGGCTGTGATTATATATGAGATAACAAACTTTTGCATCCTTTTTTTTTTTTTTAATGCTACTGTGTGTATTTTATTAAGGCTTTGCCTGTACCTTTGCTGCAGGAGTTTAAAATGTGACTGTGGCAAATTACATTAATGGGCATTAGCCAGCAATGAAGATGTTCCTTGGGTTAGTTCATAGCAAGCAGAACATCTTGGATGGAAATCTTCTTGAGATATTTTTCATCAGTATTGAATGGGACAACCAAAGCAGGTGGTTGCAGTTCTTCCTGGCTGCCTTGGTTCCGAGTTACTTGCCTTCATAAGCAGGTGTTGTTACTGTCTTTAGATATGGAGGGAAGGTTGTCATCCTGCAGAGAGCCTTTAGTGGAGAATAGGTGATGCATCAGCAAAATGAGATGTGAGAAATGAGCTTTCATTTTGGTTTACTGCTACTTGTGAACAAGGGGGTGATGTTTGTGAGAAAATGAATAGATCACATGTTGTATCTCATATTACCCCCTTATTCACGCGCTGTGTCTCAAGAAGCAGTGTGTCACTTCCCCCTGTTCACTGCTCTGCTTTCTGTTCTACATTTACCATTTAGTTGGGAGTATCTGTAAATTGAGACTCATTTTACAGCATTAAAATGTCTGTTTATTGAATTAGAATTACCTGTGTTGTACCAAACAAACTTCAGAACTGATCTGTTGCTTCAGGATGACAGTGTAGATAAAAACCAAAACGCACACAGACTGCAGTGGGTGCTCAATGCAGGGGGACACGGTGGTGGCAGTGGAAATGTTCTGTGAGTGTTGGCTGGTGGGGGGGTGGCTTGTTTTAGTGACCCTCCAAAAGAAAGGAGGAGCATTGGAGCAAACGTAAAGAAAGAAACTGGATCTGAAAAGAAAACTGCATTGGGTTGGAGACCCGTTTTTGTTTTTGCTTACGGTTCCTTTCAAAAAAAAACCCAAAAAACACAATGTCTGAAAAAAAATACTGAGTAGTGATAAGGACTGGGGTTCATGCAGCACAAGGAGCAAACAGACTGAGGGGCTCTGACAGAGATCTCTGAGCAAAGTGAAGAAGTAAGTGTGGAAGAAGCATGAAAAAGCAAAAATGATTCAGAGAAAGTAAAGCAGTTTTGCTGTTTCTCATAATATGAGCAGCAGAGTGTAGTATGGAATGAACAAAAGACTGGTTTCATCGAAACAAAAGGAAGTTGTTTTTGTCCAGACAGTGTGTGATGCAGTTGTGGAACCCATTGCCATGGGGTGTTGCGGTGTGGCTGGAGCTATAAATGGGTTCAGAAATGGATGAGTCAAACAAAGGGATGCTCGTGGTGTCCAACAATGGTCCAGGTGCATCCTCCCGTGCGGGAAGTCCTCTGCTGCGGGTTGCTGGAAGCTGGGAGCATGTGCCAAGGAGAGTTAATGCCATATGGACTTATTTTTCATGTTCTTTCTTCTTTAAGAAATTGGACAGAACAGTGAAAGTGCTCATAGACCGAGGCCCTTTGTTCTATTTATTTATTTATTGTCTTTTTGTTCACATCAGAGCTTTCTGCCCTGGCCTTGTAGGGCAGGTAGACTTTAGAGTCTTGTTTTGAAGTTTGTTTGTTTGCATGGTTTCTGTGTGCTTTACAGGAGAGGGTTAAAGTATCTTTTCCTTGCAGCAGATATTAAAACTACAAGCTTTGTGCTTTGGAAGAATAGCTTGAGTGCAATACGAGTGTGAGACAGATTGCTGAGCTTATAGGTCTTTAATAAATGGGCAGTTGATAAGTAAAAACAATACAAAAGAACAGGAAGTTCTCATCTATCAGAGCTCAGGGCACAACAGGAAATTGTCAGCCATAAACCTTTAGGGAAGGTGTTTGTTGTAAACTTGCTGCCATTCTAGGCAAACATATCACAGGTGGGCTTCCTTACAAGTGTGTGTACAATAATGAGATTGTCTATTACTGCTGTGTTTGTTCATCTTTGCAGATCAACTCGTTTATCTCACGTGGGCAGACAGGGAAAACATTCTATGCAGTG